GATGAGTGTTGATGATTTTGAAATGGAAATTATCGAACTAATATCCTCAGAATTATGGAAAACAAAATTTAAGAAATTACGAAAAAATCAGAAAGATGACTCCATGGAAAATTAAATTGTTGGATGACTTTGCCGGAAATATTTAATTGTTTAAAGAAAATTTAAAGCGCTCTCCTTTCAACTTTTGGTTCCACATATCTCTGTGAACAATTTTTTTCTCACATGAAACATATTTTGAGTTCACAAAGATGACGTTTAACAACTAAACATTCAGAATTATGTGTGTTACAAATTATACTCCGGATATTGTAATGTTAAGCAAAAATGTACAGGGACAAGGTTCGCATTAATATTGTTTAGTTTATTTTAGAATTTCATGTTATTTGTTAACTTCTCGTAGGGTAAGTTATAGTAATCGCAAAAAATCGAAAATGAAAATTTTCATATATCTTTACGTTTCAGAGTTTTCTGAACATTTTGGCATACCTTAGAAAAAATGCATGTATGTGTGTGTGTGCGTGTGCGGATACAAATTTTTGTCGACGATTTCGGGAACGCCGACCAACCGATTTGAATAATTCAAAAAACATTCGATTCGTATTGATAAGAAGACGTGCTGATTTGTTTTTGGCGAAAGCAGGTCTAGCCGTTCCGGAAATATGGAGCAAAAAGTGCCAAAAACGGTAGCTCAGTTTTAAGAGAACGGAGCGTACGATTTGAATAATTCAAAAAACATTTTACTTGTATTAAAATGAAGAAGAACTGTTCAAATTTTCATGAAGGCAAGTCTAGTGGTTTCAGAGATCTAATAGTAGTAGTAAAAAAAGTTTAAAAAAATGCCATCTGGCGGTCAAAAATGATCATTAGACATATGCACATCAAATTATCGGATATTTTATAGACATTTTAACAATAAGTATAAATTTTGTTTACATTCCTATGGGTTCCGTACCAATGTTTATCCGTTACACGGCGACGCGGCGCTTAGGCTCTTCGATATTTCGTCTCTATGCAGTTAAAGCAGTACGATTGCTTTGAAAAAAAGTTCAGAATTTTCAAAATATTTCAAAATACACTTTTCTCCAAAAAGTCTTTTTTTCAAAAAAAGTAAATTTTTGTCAACAATTTATAGTTTCTCAAAAATCTAATTTTTCAGAGTAATTTTTTTTTCAAAAATGTTAATCTTTTATAAAAAAAATAATTTTTGGTATGGGAAGTTCCAGCAATTTGCCTTAAAGCACGATGCCATGCCTAGACTAGTTAATAAATATGTTTAAAAGATAAATTTGGTTATAATTCTTCTCCCCTAGAACCTGGTTCTATAGTTTAGAATTAAGGCGGCACCCTGAATCCTGAATCATATTGGTAGAGTGGCTTGGCACACCACAGTTAAAAGCTTGCCGACCCCTGGGTTAGAGCATGGGCTAGCACCAACTAGACCCAGGCTCGCTGGTTCGATTTCCGCTACCGCCAAGCCTGACATCAGGCAACTTTGATGTCAAATTTCCACTTGGGGTTATAGATCACAATATAAATTCAAGTGGAAACTGTCCTTCGTGGACATAGTTGCATACAATCATATGCACACTTTAAGACATAAGAGCTAATAAAACCCCCACACCATTAGACACAATAGCCAATAAAACCCCCACACTATTAGACATAAAAGCTAATAAAACCCCCACACTATTAGACATAAGAGCTAATAAAAAAAAACCTATACATAGGAGAAAGATAACCGATGGGTTGCTTCTCATATTAATACCTTAGATCATAAATCATACACATAAACAGCTTATAGAACAATAATAAAAAGAGTTTCGATTGCTGTGGAAAAAAATGATCATGACATGGGTGAAGTAATGTTTAAAAAACACTCATACACAGAAACTTTTTAAAGATTTCATCAAATGCAACTTTATTAATGATTGATTAGATAGCGAAATAACTATTAAATGCAGAGATAATAAAGAAGAATGTCTCACAAACGAATTTTAATCCTAGGAATTTAGTTTTCTCTCAATTTTGATATCAATATGTTTTTTTAAATTTTTGCTTTCTTTGTCATTCATTCTGAATTTATCATTCCATTGTCAATACTTCTGCGCTTTTCTCTTGTTAGGTTTCAAGTGTTTAATTAAATTTTAGTTTATTAATTAATATTAATAAGTTATTTCTCTTTAATTTGTAGCACTTTAAAAATATGTCTGTAATATATTTTAGTTTCGTCTGTTATTTCTGTTTAGTTATTTGTTTTCTGGTGTTTAGTTATTTCTGTCAGTTCTTTCTGTTTAGTTTATAATTCTTCAAATATATGTTTGTGATATATTTGAAAATATATTTTGTATTTCGTATGTTTAGTTCTTATTTCCAATATTAAAATTTAATCAGGTTTTTTGGCTGCATTGATTATATGAACAAATGTAGAAGTTATACCGCGAGTTAATTTAGAAAATGTACATGTGCTGCCATCTATAATCACCAGACATAGCGATCTATT